CCTAATAATAAAATTACCCAAGCCCAACAACCAATTGAACTAAATTGAGCTTCTAAATGTGAATTATTCATAACGAGGTCTTTTAAATTGAGTTGTTCACAAACCCAGAAACCAAATTCATTCCCTAATTCTCGAACTACAAAACCCTAATTTTCTATCACTGAATCCTTAATGTAGCTAATCGTGAATCAATGGAAGCAAAAAAAACACTTGAATCTTACTTCTCTTTCTCCTGCAAATCCCTTGTACGCTGATAAATCGAGAAAATATAAGTGTCGAAGTGATTTCATTGAAGTATAAGTGGCTTGGTAAAACTCAAGAAAAACGATCACAGCTATAATATCCTTGAAGTTAATAACAGTTAATCGGATGGAGAGAAAAAGAAGATGGTGAAGACAATTTTTGCAGTAAAACGTTATAAAACTTTGGGACTTCCTGAGAAATATAATATGCTTCGTCAAAAATGTGATATCCGTTCATACATTTTTGTGTCCATATGCCAAGCTTTTGCTGCATTCTAGAGACAAAAAAATAAACTAAATATAATTGCAATGGAATAAAGAGATTGCGATTGCGTGTTACCAAGAACCAGTCTTCAGCTGTCAGCTTTCGTCTGGTTTGCCATATAAGTCAAATATATCGTCCATATATATGCGCACGAGCTATTCATCAGTGGCTGCACCCACAAGATTACATGTTGGAAGTTGAAACCGTGTTGAAAAATCATCCGAAAAAGAGGAAGAAGTAATAAGATAGACAATTTTGGTTTACCTGTAGATGAACTGGAACATACTTGAATGTAACAAAATCACAGACAGGCCAATACATAAGTCCATTTTTCAATGTTGGCACAAGATCTCGCTTCAATCTCGCCAAAATTTCTTCAGAATTTTCACCTTAATATGAACCCACAACATGACGAGTACCATATATTAACAGGCAGAATCGTAAAAAGCTAAACGCGTTTGAAACAAATAATGCTTCAACACATAAGCGTATCATGTACCTTGTAAAGCAGCATTATAGGAAAAGAAGACTGTGTTGCTACAAGGTCCGAAAAGAACCTGCCCCATCATTATTTTCTTAAAGGTTGTCAAGACGTCACGCTTTGGCAATATTTTAGAAAGATAACTGAACCACAAATGCTGTGACGGCCCGAGGAAAATCAACCCAAAGCTAGCCATTCTGGCTGTTCTTATCAGGTCAAGAGAACCAGATGGCTCCATCGTGATCATCTGTTGAAGATTTTAGAGAGTCAGCACAAATAAAACACATCAAGGTCTTCAATTTCCTTTTTTTTCTTTCATAATTTCTGCATACTACCTAGGGGAATTGAAAAGCAACAACAACATGATCATAGAATGACTGAATACGAAGAGAAATTCATCGATGAAAGTAAGAAAAAGAGAGTTTATAAGCAACGCAAGACACACCTATAACTTTGCTTTCTTGAAGATAAGAATTCACAAGAAGATTAGATGATCGTAATGTGATTATTCTGAGTGACCAAATCATGTATTCAGTACTGAAAGACATCAAATTCACAAGATAAAATATACAGATTAGTCGATTGGCATGGCATTTACCCGAGCTACAAAACAGATATATTTGTCTCACACATGACATATCAAATAACAACAGTTAAGAACAGAGAGAGACCAAAGATAGGAGTATCACAACTAAGACAATAACACCAACCAAACCTCAAAAAAGCAAATCACCACATCAATTTTGTTCACTAATATGAATTTTACAAAGAGTACCAAAATATATTTCGATTTGTCTAGGTATGAAACATTGAGAGATTGGAGTTTTCTTCCTAAAGCAAGAGATAAACGAAAATTCCCTAAGATAAATCCGTAATTAGTAATGACATTAGAACATACATTCCCAAAACCATCCTAGTATATGACAAAAAAATGACGAACGTGATAATCTCACCTGAGAGGTCAGATCGGCGGCCATGTAAATGAGGGAAGTAGTGATGCTCTTGGTCATGAAAGGGCGTGAATCCAGATTTCTCAAATACCAACGTAGAAACCCATTCTGTTTCGAAGCATTCGTCGATAGATTGCGCGAACACGACGAAACGAACAACGCACGAGGCACTACGAAATTCCCAGGCCTACGAAGCTGGTGAAAGAACCGGCCAGATAATCCGATCATCGGACTCCGATCGGAGAATCGAGGAGACAGAAAACATTTGCTCAAGCCAACCATGTTCATTTTTTTTTATCTCCGATGATGATGATTCGTTTAACGGCGGCAGGCAGCTACAGTATATGTAGCTCTCTCCGCAGGATCAAAACCGCATATAAGCTATTGTCTTGACTTAAAATTGTAAATGACCCGAGGAAA